GGCTGGGTGGGAAATCTAGGCCTAATTTTGTTTGCTGGCTGTTAGTAAATTATACATCCTAATTCTATCATCTGGGACATGGGGTTTCACAGTCTCTTTTCTTCTTGAAGGTCTATGTCAGGATGTGCAAGGACTATCCATGTCATCACTATACAATTATTTTGCAAAAATAGACAATCCTTGATTTTCTCCTAATAAAGCATGTGGTAACATGGATCAGTCCAATCAGTTGTCATTTCATATATCATTTCATTTTAAGCTTGCTACTATGCTCCAATAATTTATCTTCTTCTCCTATTCTACTTCAGGTAATAGAAGAATAGTGCTATATTCTTTAAGCTCACACTGTGATGGAGCTGGCTGCGGGCTTAGTTTTCAAACAGACCGACAGCGAGGATGTACACCCCTGAGACTGAAAATTTGCTATCCATTATTCATAAGGTGGACAATCTCCATGTGCATAACTGAGATCTGGTAGAAGTATTTCTTTAATGAGTTTTCTACAAATTTCTGCAAAGCATGTGCTATTTCCCACAGCCTGACACACTTTTTCTTTCTGTGGGTGGAGTTAGGACTTGAACCCAGGGCTTCGCCTCTGCTGATCGCATGTTCTACCACTGAGCTACACCTCCAGCCTCCAGATGCATATTTAAATGTCCAGCATCATTATCGCTTCTGCCTAGATGCTAACCCTCATTTTGCTCTCAGCTCCGATAGCACATCTTCAATTCCCCACATGGCGTTTTCTCTTAGGGCTATGGGATCATTTTGGTCTAACTCCTTCACATTGACACCAAGGGTGCTGAGATCCAAAGACATGGTATGGCTTTTCCATTTTCCTCAATCAGCATCAACAAGACCAGATGCCAATTCATCAGTTTCCTAACACACAGAAGATTCTTTGTCCACACTGCCGATGGAAGACTGTGCATAGCTCCATACTCAACACACAACCTTCCTCCTGGTCTTCCAAGCCTGACTCTTCCTCCTAAACTTCCAGGCTGTGAGTGGAGGCTCTAGGCAGGCAAAGCTCATGGTCAACACATATTATTCTCTGCTGATTTCCCCAGAACTGGCATTCAGTGGGAGCCCAGAGTGTATGTTGGCAGATGCACACATGAACGCCTCTGACAATAAGCTATCTTCTCTTCATCATCTGAGCTTGGAACCGATCATTTCACACCCCTAATTCCTGCTGATTGGTCACTAAGTTCTAGTGATGTGGTTTCCGTAGGTTGTTTACTTTCGACTCCTCATTTCTTTACTTCTGATCCCTGGAGCCTGGAACCCACATCTCCTTTCTCCAGCCTTCTTTTCTTTCACTTCTTCCTGTCCTTGGTTTTTCTTCAAGAATAAAAGTTTTCATCCACTTGTTCCAGGTCAGAAGACATTTACATTTTCAGCACTGCATCTCCTTCTTTGCAGGCAGGATCTCTCCCTCTGGGCTCTGCCTCTCTGACCTTATCACCTGCCATTCTGCCTTGGAATCTCCCCCTTCTCACAGGATGCCATATGTGTGTGCCCTTGAAACACACCTGATATCATTTGGGCCACTATCTGCCTCACTTAGTCCATGAATTCTAATCATCATTCAGGCCCAGCTAAAGTGTTTACCTTACAGTAGCAGCAACGGAATGTAACAGCAACGGTAGCTAGAACTTCCTAGATATCTCACGCGTTAAGCATAGTTCTGAATTATTCATATGCATCATTTTACTAACTTTCACAAAAACCCTAGGAGTAAGTCCAATTATTTGTGTGATAGTGGTGGGAACCTCGGCTCAGAAGTGTCAGGTCACATACCAAAGGTCACAGACTCAGTATCTAGAACAAACGGAGTTCGTACATACTTCCACCGGAGTGCCAAACCAGCGTTCCTATCCTCTAGGCTACATTGCCTGAGGCAATTTTTCTTCTCTGACAGCCCCTCACTGTCCACAGCCACTGCTTTGCCAGCTTTCAGTTGAGTGCTATCTTACTGAACACTCTCTTATATGCATACGTTCCTTATTCCCCAGCTATGTTATAAGCCGCCAGACAACAGGAATTACACTTTGGGGGACTTCTAAGGCCTGACCCACAAATTCACTTCTGACTAAACTGATTAAGAGGGTAAAGTATTCAACCCCCTTTTAGTTTTTAAAAAAATATATAATTCTACCTTGAGGCAGTGGGTTTACTCCCTCCCTTTCTTCCCCTAGGACTACAAGTTGGTCCTAGAATAAACAAAAGTAGATCCTTGCTGAATTTAGGCTCCTGAATAATACATGCAGGTTCAGCGTCTTTAATCCAAAAATCTGAGACTTTTTAAACGACAACGTGGCACGACAAATGGAAAATTCCACACCAGGGAACTTTGTTTCATGCATAAAATTATTGTATAGAATCACCTGTAAGCTATGGGTATAAGGTGTATATTAAATGTAAATGAATTTCTTATTTAGATGTAGATCTCATCCCTATAATATCTCATTATGTATATACAGGCATTCCAAAATATATATATATATATAAAATTCCAACCCTCAAACACTTCTGGTTCCATGCATTTCTGGTAAGCATTCTTGGACCTGTATTTTCATATATCTTTTCTAGAAAGTGGGCCTGAAAATAGTTTCTGGAGTGACTTAGGAATTTTGAACCTTTTCCTCTTGAGACCTTTGCAGGGCTACAGATATTACAAGAGGGGGAAAAACAAAACCCCAGAAACCCCAGCAACTGTTGAGAGCCACTGGGGGATTTAATCACTGAGAATCAACAATGCAGGTGGTAATTACACAGCCTGCTTATACATTACCATAATATGCTGTTTTGTTAACTGATTCGTTTAAAATTAGCACTGTGAGCTGGAGGTGTAGCTCTGCAGTAGCACACTTGCCAAGCACGTAGAAGGCCCTGGGTTCAATCCCAGTACCATAAACACACAAATACACAAACACACACAAGCTAGCATCATGTGCTCCAATAGATGTATCACTTTACATACATAAAATGTTCATTTTAGGATCAGTCCTCAAGAAACTGTTTGACCTTGAGTTAGTCATAGACCCTTTCTGGGCCTCTATCTTTCTATTTCCTTAACTTTCTGCAATGCTAATTAACACAATCTGTTGGTTTTAGTTTATGTGCCTTCAGTGCCTAGAATCCAAGAAACAAAATGCTAGAAAAGCACTCTGAAATGTTAAAAGTGGCAGCCACTGTGAGAAAATATCCAGTGTTATCTTACTTAGTGGTTTTAAAGGTGTTTTTGTGTATGCCTTGTTATCTTAGGAAGGGACATAGTTGGGAAGTTCTTTCTTTTTCATTTGTGCTTCTGGGGATCAAACTCAGGACCTTGCCCGTCCTGGGAAACACTCCACTTCTAATCTGCACCCACAGCCTGAAAGTTAGTTCTTTAGTGAGGCCTACCCTTGCTCTGCAAAGGAGCTCATGTGCTCCATGGTTATGGCCCCCTGCAAGCTGTCTCTGCCTTCCTGTTCCCTCCACCCCCGCCCTCCATGCCTCTGCCCTCTTATGTGCTTTGCATGTTAAACACCAAAAGCTTTCCGCTAAGGCCTCAGCCACAGGGGAGGCAGATAGCTTGCATCTGGAAGCCATCATCAGCTTCCCTTCGGTATGCCAGTAAACTAAAACTCCTCCATTCGTTATGGGGAAAAGTGACAGTTAATGCAGTTTTTTTTTTTTTAAGTTTCCTTTAAGACTTTTCCAATTGAATTTGAGGCTGTGGAGGAGGCTGGTGGGCAGACGTGCTTGCTCAGCCAAATCAGACCATCTTCTGTGCGTCTCTCCAAAAACATGCTCTGAATCCAGGGGCAGAGTGGGACAGGTAGCCATTCACAATGCACATACCCTTGGAAGACAGGAGCCCAGGAATCTCCCTGATCAAGAGCAAATTATGAGGTCAGGTGGAAGAATCAAGGCGATTTGGTAAGTTTTAACATGCAGCAGTGGGGGAAACGGGAAGAACAGCAATTGCGAAGTGTGATAGACATCTACCAACTTCCTATGATGAAAGTAATCATTGTGTATTGCAAACTTGTACTCAGAAAACTAAAAAGTAAAAAAAGACAAGAAAAAAAATGCAGCAGTGGAACAGTTCTGCCTCTTGACTGCAGAGCCGTTGCATGAATCTGCCCACACTGAAGCTGCACATAGCTACCCGTGCAGACGCTCCCACATGTGCACAAAAGGAGTGCGTGGGAAACTGTGAGGGCTGAAGAGTGGTCTGTGAGCTGCACCTATGAGAATTTCCTGGAGTTGCTATTGGACTATGATTATGTAAGGTGTTAGTTACCATCGAGGGAACTGACACAGAGGCCTGTCTACTATTTAGTGAAACTCTCTGCTATCAGAGATTTTAAAGTAAAATGTCAAAAACAAACAAAGAAAAGCCTAATGCAATAGAAATGGATTTGGCTCTATCTCCCCCAAATCTTGGGAAATAAGGGCTGATGCTCTCCCAGAGGGGATCATGAGGAGCCTGTTAGTAACAATGAGATAGATCACCACCATCATCACCATCATTACCACCATTGTCACCATCATCACTACCACTATCATCATCATCATCGTCACTATCACCCTCACGGTCACCATCACCATCACCATCACCATCACCTCACCATCACGGATCCAATTTATTGAACACTTACTATGAACAAGGCACTAAGGTCTTCTGTTTGTTTTCAACATTTTCTTTGTTGTATACAGTACCCTTGGCCAGGTTATCATCCCCATTTTACAGAGGATAATAATGACATTGGAAAAAGCTGGCTCTCACCAATGCCGTCCACCTATGGTGTGGCCAAACTCTGAGGCAGGTTGAGGATAAATAACCAGGAAGCAATCAGGCTCTAGGATGCTGTCCTGCAAAACACTTAAACACAGCCTTCAATCTCCAAAGATGCCTCAACCGCCCTCCTGCCCTATCCCTCATTCCCCTTTGGCCAGAGAGCCTGAGTGACTTACGTCTGCAGCAAAACAGCAAAAATAGCACTTACAGGTTCTTCACGTCAGCGATGCCACGGAATGCCTTCCTCGGGATCCCCTGGATCTGGTTCTCACTCAGATCTCTAAACAAGAAGAAAGGAGGCAAACCACGTTAAAGAGGCCCAGCTTTCTCTGCATCTCATTATGATAACAAAAACCCTGGGAGGCTGCCTCTGCGCTGGGTCAGAAGTGTTTGGGGGGACTGTTTAGTCTCAGGCCCAGGCTGCTACAAGCTTTCACATTGTTCTGTGAGCTATGGCCTTTGCTGAAATGGTTACCAGGCGGGAGCAGTGAGCCTCCTCGGCGGGCTCTGTGGGTGGTCTCACACCTCCAGGCCACGAGCCAAGACGCTGGGTTATTTGTTGCACACACTGCATCCAATTCTCTGTTTCACCACCTCCCAGAAAAGACCCCTTGGCCTCCTCCCCCCAAGGTATCCCTCCCCCACGCGGGGTCAACATCACTCAATCTTCCGTCTCTCAGCTGTCCTTTGATGCTCAGGCTCTCTGCCTTTGTCAGCTGGGATCGAAACTGAGCCTGGCCACTGGATTTTTTGAGGAAGATCACCACTTCAGCTTATTCTACAGTCCCAGAGTCCCCTGGAGGCCTCCTGGATCTTCCTAGTGACAAGCATGATGAATTCAAATTGCATTTCCACAAACCCATCCAAAAGGAGGGTCCCGCCGGCACCTCATCAAGCACTGAGTGGCACCAAGATGTTGTTTTGCAGAGGGTAAGGGACAGAGGGTGGAGTCCCACCGCTGGCTCACTCCCAAGTCTTACCCTGGGGTTTAGCCATCCCAAAGCCTTCATTTCTTTGCCTAAGAATTATGCAGGCTTTTTTCATTTTTGTGTTCTGGCCATACTATTATTATTATTTATACCAATCATGAACTTGTTTTCACTCAGACCTCAAGCCTGCTTGGATCTCAGTGAGTAAGCCCTCTGGGAAGACCCCCCCCAGGCCTCCAGGGCACACAACGTGTCACCGCAGGACCGTCACTCAAGCAAGGTGGTTGTGCCTAACCACGGACTGCACACGCATTTCCAAAGGGGATAATGGGGAAAAGGATGGGTGTGCAGAGGCAGAGCTAAGAGAACAGTCACTCCTTCATATTTTCTTTACAGATAAAAGGCATATATGCATATATGTCTACCTGCGTACAGGTAGACATACATACTATTTTGAAAAGAGCACAGAGAAACCCTCAAATACTAAAGTAAAAAAAAATTAACCACTCAGACAGAACTACTGCAACCAGTTAGAAGTAATACATATAAATTTCACCAATATGACCTCATAATATACAGCCTATTATAAACTATTTTTTACTTACTGTATTGAGAACATCTGTCCACATTGTTACCAGTACACCAACACCGACATTTTTAATGGCTGTCTATCATCAAATTGTGTGCATGGCTACATGATCTCAAACAATTGGACAGACATGCAATTATTTACCATTTAAAGAAACAGGAAACTTTCCCTGCCCGTACTCTCGGGACACTTGTCCAGCTATTTCCTTGGCACAGGGTCCTATAAGGAGAACTCGCTGGTCACACGATAAACATATCCTTGCCGAGTGTCTGACAGACTTCACTGATAGACACACTCTGATTTTTTTTTTGCCAGACTCTCATCAGAAGTATCATTCCAAGTATATTTGGAAAAAGAGGCCCATCATGTTCCACTAAAACCTGGGCAGTTTCACTGAGCATTGTTCAAGGGGGAAGGAGGCAAAGCAGAAGGGAAGAGAGGTGCGTTTCTCTGCTCTCAACTGCTGAGAGGACCCACACAAGCTTGGAGCGGCTGATTAGAACTCATGACCTTTGGGGATTATTGAGGGTTACTCTTCAGCCTCAAAACAAGCCTCAGAGTCAGGAAGGGGTACAGCTGTGAGCGCTAGAGGCTTCTGGGGCTACAGATTGGATACCCCCCACCTCAAACCCAGTTTCTCCTGTCTGCATCTGATGTAAATAAATTTAGATGCACAATGAGCCCAGTTGCAGACTCCCCCAGCCAGGCCTGATTCAATGAGCAGGGCTCCAGCCTGGAGTCGGGGCGCTGAACAAAGCCCACGATGACAGCAGAGGTCAGGCAGTGTCACCCAGGCCACTCAGCTGCTCTCCATCAGCCTCCAGAGGAGGGGCCCGGGTCCTGTCATCCGACTAATGCAATTTCTACCAGGCATCTGGGTCGCACTCGAGGCTCAGGCGGCCACAATGGGCCCGTCTTTTTGTAAGTGAAGGCTGGTCTCCGAGCCACCACGCTCTTGCTCATGACCCTCCCAGGCGTGGCTGTTATCTCTTGCTGCTCTGGGAGATGAGCTTTGGCTACAATGTCTAAGAAAAAGCTGATAAGAGAAATCAAGGGCAGAGGAAACAAATAGGAGGAAGGTTTAAAACTGCCAGCTTCGACTATGGCAGCAAGCTGGAAGACGAGGCACATCTTTCTGTCATGTATTAGCCTGTTTTGAGTGGAATGAATCCTGACAAATATCAGAAGGAATAGCAACTGTACGAAAGTTCTGGCTTATGGTACAGTAGGATTAAGACAGAGGAGGGAATTTTAAGCAGGAAAATCTGGCAGTATTAAGGGCAGACAGCCTACCAGGCAATGAGTCAGGCAAAATCCTATATTTCTTGGGGCAACTGTGTTGGTCTCTGGTCACTGCATTCTTCGTATAGTATCCAGGTTTGCTCTAAGGAGCCCAGTGTAAGGCACAGTTTGCTTTCGGCCTCTTTGCCATCATTTTCTCCTACCCTAATAGAGTAAAACTGCAGGGGCTGGGGATTTAGCTCAGCAGCACAGCGCCTGCCTGGCAAGCGCGAGGTTGTGTGTTCGATTCTCGGTACCGGGAAAAAAAAACCAAAAAAAAAAAAAAAAAAAAAAGAGTAAATAGAGTAAAACTGCAGACTGTAGGAAATTTATCTGTTCCCCATGACAATCTGCTTGTAAAGTTTATTAATTTTATTCTCCATTGAGCTCCTCTTCTCCGGCTAACAATACTGCTGCCGTGCCTCCACAGAATTGTATATTGATTTCATAAATACCTCCAGTGGGCTGACAAACTGACAGTGTTAATGGTGTTACTGATGGGCCATGGAGGAGGGCTCAGGGCTGGGCACTTTTTTTAGGTAACCATCCCTTCACCATTATCCTGGGGCCTTTGTGAGGATTCTTAATAGTGTGTTTATCTCAGCGTGATGCCCAAGCGTGAAGCTATTGTGAAGTACAATCCTTGAGAGAGACAAGAACCACCATTTTCAGCTGACACTTAAATAAAAATAACAAAATCTATCTAGAATGCCTAAGAGGCTAGTCCCAGCCAATTGCTTGTTTGAGTTTTATTGCCTTATCCTTCTTGAGGGAAGCAGCCTGTGGAAAGGATCAGAAGTGACCAGAAGGGGATTTTTTTTTTAACATTAGGACAAAAGCACAAGGTTGGAGTAGGGCTGGGGTAGTGGGTACAAAATGCGCTGGGTTTCTCTGGGAACATAAAGATGACTGGTAGGGAAGGCTTTCTTGGTTGGAGAGTGGGGCTAAGGATCAGGGAGCTTTTTTAAATAATTAGGACTCTGAAAGAAAAGGAGAACTGCATTAGCTAAAGTGCATTTTCCAGCTTCCGGAAAATGATTAACTGACTGATTATTCCATCCAAAAACACAGGACCAAAGACGACTTATTAAGAAGACAGTAAGTCAAATAGGAGTTGGCAAGAACCGATACATCCCCCTTCCAGTCAGCCCTCCCCACAACCTTTTTAATTTACTAAAATGCTTTGGACACAGATTAACTTTCTTCACAAATTTATTATTGCTTCATCTACCTTGAAACGGGAACTGCAGACACTTTGATAAATGGATTGAAAGGTTGTCTAGTTCCAGTAGAGCTTTTGAAATGCTTCCTGGGGCTCTCCCTGCAATGTCAGGCATGCTTTGTTCTCAGGACAACAGTGAATTACAGCCCTCACCTTCACCCCACCCCACAGGACATGGCACAGGAAAATGCCCTCTTTTTTTGCTCCACTGGGGACAGTGCTCTTGTCCTTGTCACATTCATGGTACCAGAAGTGTTGTCTGTGTTAAATAGCAGAAAGAGTGTATATGTGTGTGTGTGTATTTATTCCTCGGTGTTGATCCCAAATTATTTCAAAGCTATAAAATGGGGCTTGAAATCTTCCAGAAACTTGAGAATTCTTATCTCTAAAGTGGGTAGAGCTGCTTATGAGCTGTATGATCATGGTAAATTGCTAAAATATTCCATGCCTCAGTTTCCCCATCTTTATAATCACACCATTAATTTTACCAGCCTCAGACCAGGGATATAGCTCAGTGGCACAGTGCCTACCTGGCAAGCGCGAGGTCCTGAGTTCGATTCCCGGTTTAAAAAAATTTCTTTTACCAGCCTCATCAGTTAACGGTCAGGACAAACTGAGCCAGCACATGTAAAAGCACTGCACGGCTGGAACACAGAAAGCGTGCAACCCCCGGCCGCACAGTATTTACTTCTCAGGAGTTTCCCCATTTACACCGGATTTATGTTGCTAAAAACATCCTTTATAAGCAGCCCCAGGACATATAATTAATGCTCTGAAAAAAATAAGATACTGAAATGTTGCTAGTACTCTTTCCATAAAGTCAAAGGTAGAGATTAAAGCCTCCCTCATCTATCATCTAGAAAGGGGTATCCACTTTTTTTACTCTAGACTGTTTCAGATGAAACAAGGTTTGATTCAGGAAACAGGTCCATCTCAAAGGGCTGTCTCCAAAGCAGACGCTGAGCCAGGTCTCAGAGGTTAAATAATCGATTAGCGAAGTCCTCCCAGGAGAGATCCCTGAGGGAGGGACTGGGGTGAAGAAGGAGAACAAAGTACAGTTAGGTAAAACCATGGACTGAGTCCAAGACATGAGGAGCTCCTGTCTCTTAGCAAGGGTCCTAGGTCTGTGAAGGCCTGCCTCCGTGCTCCTGAGGACCATCCACGAAATGCAAGTTCCCAGGCCATACCTGCCCTTCTTATGATGGTGGGATGTTGCAACGCAAGGGCAGATTGCTTAAGGAACCCCCAGCTGAGACTTC